AGCGGGTGTGTATCGTTAGGGAAGACATGCATCACTATATTTGACATTGCATCTCATGGCATTACACATTTTATTATTGATGAACTTGAACATGTGTTTTGTTGATCCTGTGAGTGTTTCTCTGTGAAGCTTGTGACTGTTGAATATTGAGTTACTATTGAGAATGTGTAAACTGATAGAGTGTGGTTATTGAGTTGTGTGTTTGGTAAACTGTAACCTATTAGACTGTATCGTGGAGGTTTAGATATGGTGTAAGGAGTGCCCGTATTTTGTTCACTTAACTTGTGTTTAGAGGTTTGCTTGTTGGGTACCGCGTGGTTTGGTACTCACCCCTTGCTTCTACAAATTTTTGTAGGATACGAGCCTGGATCATCGTGATACTTGTCATTCTTTTCGTTTCCGAGGCATCTTGTGGAGGATTGTGAGGTAGCTGCTTGTCATCTCAGCAAACTTTCCTACTCCAGTTTATGACTTTGTTTTTACTTGAAAGACAGCTTCATTCAGACTTCTACTTTATTTCAATTCTAGTATTTACATTAGAGGCTTGTGCACGTGACAACCTGATTTTGGGGATTGGATTAATATAACTTGGTTTCATAATAGGAATTGTTGTTGGATTGTCATTTACTTCCGCACTTTGTTAGATATTTGGTTTTAGGCTGACTTGTCTTGGTGGGATAAGACGAGTGCCATCACACCCATTTTTGGGTCGTGACAAAATGGTATCAGAGCCCCAGGTTCATAGGTCTCACGTGTCTACAAGCCGAGTCTACGTAGAGTCTCAAGGGTCAGTACGGAGACGTCTGTACTCATCTTTGAGAGGCTATAAAGATTACTAGGAAACATCCTTTTGTTCATTGTTTCTCATCGTGCGTAGTTACCTTCGTTAGTACTGAGTTGTTGTATACTCTTTTGACAGATGACGAGGACTAGAACTAATGTTACTGGTGGTAGAGGGGAGGCACTTCCCGAGGCAGTTGTTGAGGCCCCAGCTAGGGGTAGGGGTAGATCTCAAGCTAGAGGTCGTGCTAGTAGTACGACAGTAGCCAGAGGTCGTGGACGTGGAGCAGCACCACTGAGAGGTAGTGCTAGAGAGGTCTCTACCGAACCTCAGATTGATGACATAGAGGACCAGGTTCCTCCAGATCCCGTAGTCACACCTTTGCTTCAGGATACGCTATTGAGGGTGTTAAGTGTGCTAGAGGGATTTTCTCAGGGTGGTGGTGCAACTACCACACCACATGACTCTCGTACTAGAGAGGGGGCTCAGACCCAAGAGCAGCAACAAGCTCCGGTTGTTCAGGATGCGGTGGGGCAACTACCAGTAGATCCCGCGGTTCAGAATGATATTGCACCAGCAGTTGGGGGTCAAGTTGCATCGATGGTTGTTCTTACAGAGGATGAGCAGCGTAGGTATGAGAGATTTCGAAAGATGGACCCACCTCAGTTTCAGGGTGGGAAGAGCGAGGACGCTCATGAGTTTCTAACTACCTGCCGAGAGTTACTAGAGGTGGTTGGATTAGCTGAGTCACATGGGGTTAGATATGCTACACTCCAGCTTCGTGGACCAGCGAGAGACTGGTGGAGGACTTATTCGGGGGTTTTGCCAGTTGGATCTCCTCCAGTGACTTGGGAGCAGTTTGCTAGTGCATTCCAAGATCATTTTATCCCATGGAGCGTGAGAGAGGAGAGTCTCTTGAGGTTTGAGAGTTTGAGACAGGATGGTTTATCGGTCACAGAGTATGAGGCGCGTTTTTGCCAGTTGTCTAGGCATGCGTTGGCCATTATTCCGAATGAGACAGAGAGGATCCGCAGATTTGTGAGGGGATTGACTTTCTCTATCAGGTCAGCTGTGTTTCGGGCATCTAGGGAGGGGGCTTCTTTTCAGTCCATTGTGAGCGCCGTCAAAGAGGCAGAATTGATGGAGAGAGAGGAGTTTGGGGACCCTAAAAGAGCCCGTATATCAGGACAGTTTCATGGTGCCTCATCTGGAGGTAGGGGATCACAGAGAGTGAGTGGTTCTTTTCAGCAGCGGGGACCTATTCATGCATCTATGCCGACATTTGAGGGTGGCCAGACATCTAAGGGTTCTTATAGCCCGGGTTAGAGCTCGTACGGTTCACAGCAGCGACCTACAGGGCGAGGAAATTATAGTGGGTTTTCAAGGTCCACACAACAGTTCCCAGGTCAGAGATTTTGTTTTACTTGTGGAGATCCCGATCATCTAATGCGGCAGTGTACTTCACAAAGGGGTCGTGGTGGTCCTCGACCTAATTCTTCATTCTAGACTAGACCACCAGCACCACAGGGTAGAGGTCGTGGCAGAGTTCAGTCAGGTAGAGGTGATAGAGTTTTTAGTAGTGGTGTTGCAGCTCAGCAGAGTGGGGGTAGAGGTACCACCCAGGATGGAGGTGGACGAGGAGGCCACTGCTATGCTTTCCCCGGGAGACCTGAGGTGGAGACCTCTGATGCTGTTATTACAGGTATCATCCCAGTATGCCATCGACCTGCGTCTGTGTTGTTTGATCCAGGTTCTACATTCTCTTATGTGTCTACGTATTTTGCTGCTAAATTTGATATGATATGTGATAGTATGACTGTACCTATTCGTGTTTCTACACCCGTGGGTAAACCCTTAGTGGTGGATCGAGTGTATCGATCCTGTCTTGTTTCTTTGGCTGGGTATGACACTTGGGTAGAGTTAATCATTCTGGGGATGGTGGACTTTGATGTTATCTTGGGTATGGATTGGCTTTCTCCTTATCATGTTGTCCTTGATTGTTATGCTAAGACTGTGACTTTAGCTATGCCTGGTGTTCCGAAGGTTGAGTGGAAGAGTGTTAGTGGTTCTTACCCTAGCAAGGTCATCTCTTTTATCCGTGCTCAGAGATTGGTGGAGAGGGGGTGTTTGTCTTACTTAGCTTTTATTCGGGATACTAGCGTTGAACCACCTCCCATGGATTCTGTTCCCGTGGTTCAGGAGTTTCCCGATGTATTTCCTTCTGATCTTCCAGGTGTTCCTCCCGATAGGGACATCGATTTCGTTATTGATTTGGAGCCGGGCACTAAGCCTATTTCTATCCCTCCATACCGTATGGCTCCAGCAGAGTTGAAAGAATTGAAGGATCAGTTGCAGGATTTATTGAGTAAGGGTTTTATTCGCCCTAGTGTGTCACCTTGGGGTGCCCCTGTATTGTTTGTGAAGAAGAAGGATGGGACTATGAGAATGTGTATTGATTACAGACAGTTGAACAAAGTAACAGTTAAGAATAAGTATCCTCTTCCGCGTATTGATGACTTATTTGATCAGTTACAGGGAGCATCATTGTTCTCTAAGATTGATCTGAGGTCTGGGTATCATCAGTTGAAGATTAGGGCATCAGATATCCCTAAGACAACTTTTCGGACCCGGTATGGGCATTATGAGTTTCTAGTGATGTCCTTCGGATTGACTAATGCCCCTGCAGCATTCATGGAGTTGATGAATGGGGTGTTTCGGCCATACCTTGATTCTTTTGTGATTGTTTTCATCGATGACATCTTGGTTTACTCTAAGACTGAGGAGGACCATGTCCGACACCTGAGGATTGTACTTCAGAGGTTGAGAGAAGAGAAGTTGTATGCCAAGTTCTCAAAGTGTGAGTTCTGGCTTACTTCTGTGACATTCTTGGGACACGTGGTGTCCAAGGAGGGTATTAGAGTAGATCCGACCAAGATAGAGGCAGTTAGAGGCTGGACGCGACCTACTTCACCTACTGAGATTAGGAGTTTTGTGGGATTGGCAGGCTATTATCGACGATTTGTTCAGAGTTTCTCTACTATTGCAGCTCCATTGACTAGATTGACTCGACAGGATGTGAGTTTTCAGTGGTCTGATGAGTGTGAGGAGAGCTTTCAAAAGCTTAAGACTTTGTTGACTTCTGCTCCTGTGTTGACTCTACCTGAGGAAGGTGTAGACTTTACTGTGTATTGTGATGCCTCAGGAGTTGGTTTGGGTGGTGTGTTGATGCAGAAGGGGAAAGTGATTGCTTATGCTTCTAGGCAGTTGAAATCCCATGAGAAGAACTACCCTACTCATGATTTGGAGTTGGCGGCTGTGGTATTTGTACTTAAGTTATGGCGTCATTATTTGTATGGAGTGCATTGTGAGATCTTCACTGATCATCGGAGTCTTCAGTATATCTTTAGCCAGAGGGATTTGAACTTGAGGCAACGAAGATGGCTTGAGTTGCTGAAGGACTATGATGTGACCATTCTGTATCATCCGAGGAAGGCCAATGTTGTGGCCGATGCTTTGAGTAGGAAGACTCATAGCATGGGGAGTCTTGCATCTCTTAGTGTTGAGGAGAGACCATTGGCTAGAGATGTTCAATTGTTAGCTAACAGTCTTGTCCGATTATAGATCTCAGAGGAGAGTGATGGGATGATTGCTTTTATTGAGGCTCGATCTTCTTTAGTCGAGCAGATTCGTGCACACCAGTTTGATGACGAAAAATTATGTCTCATTCGAGACAAAGTATAGAGAGGGGAAGCTAAGGAGGCTGTCCTTGATTCTGATGGTGTCTTGAGGATCGGAGGCAGGATTTGTGTGCCCAAGACAGGCGATTTGATTAGATTGATCCTTGAGGAGGCCCATTGTTCTCGATATTCTATCCATCCGGGAGCGGCGAAAATGTATCATGATCTGAGTCAGCATTACTGGTGGTGTGGGATGAAGAGAGATATTACAGACTTTGTTTTGAGGTGTTTGACTTGCCAGCAGGTCAAGTGTCAGCACCAGCGGCCTGGTGGTGTATCTCAAAGGATGCCTATTCCTACTTGGAAGTGGGAGCGGATTACTATGGACTTTGTTGTGGGTTTGCCTACCACAGTGGGTGGTTATGACTCTATTTGGGTTGTTGTTGATAGGCTGACCAAGTCTGCCCACTTCATCCCGGTTCGGGTAAAGTATACAGCAGAAAAGTTAGCTGAACTATATATCAGTCAGATTGTGCGACTACATGGAGTTCCTGTTTCTATCATATAAGATCGAGGTTCACTATTTACTTCTCACTTCTGGAAGGCATTACAACATGGTCTGGGTACTCAGTTAGATATGAGTACGGCATTTCACCCTCAGACAGATGGTCAATCTGAGCGGACCATTCAGGTATTGGAAGATATGCTTCGAGCGTGTGTAATCGATTTTGGTGCAAGATGGGATCGACATTTACCCTTAGCAGAGTTCGCCTATAATAACAGTTATCACTCTAGTATCCAAATGGCCCCATTTGAGGCATTGTATGGTAGACGGTGTAGATCTCCTATTGGTTGGTTTGATTCGGCAGAGATGGACTCTTTGGATACAGACTTGCTTAGAGATGCTATGGAGCAAGTCCGTATGATTCAGTATAGATTATTGACAGCTCAGAGTCGACAGAAGAGTTATGCAGATCGGAGAGTTAGAGCCTTGGTGTTTATGGAGGGTGATCATGTTTGGCTCCGAGTATCACCCATGAAGGGTGTAATGAGGTTTGGAAAGAAGGGCAAGCTTAGCCCTAGGTTGATTGGACCTTTTGAGATTTTGAGCCGAGTGGGAGAGGTGGCCTATAAGTTGGCCTTGCCACCTAGTTTGTCGGCAGTTCATCCTGTTTTCCATGTCTCTATGCTTCGGAAGTATATTCCGGATGAATCTCATGTGATTTCACTTGATTCTGTGGAGTTGGGTCCAGACTTGACATTTGAAGAGGAGCCTATAGCTATTTTGGATAGGCAGGTTCGAAAGCTTAGAACCAAGGAGATTGCTTCAGTGAAGGTGCAGTGGAAGCACCGATCAGTGAGAGAGGCAACTTGGGAGACTGAGTCTGACATGCGTGCCAGATATCCTCAACTTTTTGAGGCTTCAGGTACTTTCTTTCACCTTATGTTCGAGGACGAACATGGTTTTTAGTGGTGGATAATGTAATGACCCGAAAGGTCATTTTTGAAAATTTTAAATATTAATTTAATTAAGAATAAATTAATTTATGACTAATTATTAAATAACTAATTGTAATTAATAATTATGGTTAAGTTTATAAAAAAAAAATTTTTACCATATACCAATTACCCTTATAGGAAATAAATTATTAGGGTTAGAGAGTTTTTAGTTTATAACTTTAAGAAAAGAAAAGGAGACACCTGCGTATAGCGACGATTGGCGTAGAATTGCAATTCACGATAAGGTAATGTTCATGAATTTTTCATTCATTATGCAATTGAAAATATTGAGGTCAAATGTAGTACAAGCATAATTATCATTATAATAATGTGTGAAAATGAGTAAGGAATCAAATTGTTAACTTTATTAATTATATTATTATTTGTAAGTTACAGTGGATCAGAATTGAAATTGTACCAACTTGAACGTGATTTCTATATATATATATTTATCATAGTGGTAATGTTAATGACGATTAAAAAAAAATTGAGGGTAATTATCGATCAGTAAAGATAATTAATTGTTGAGGGATAGTTTCTAAGAATATAACCTGTGTCAATTTGAGTTCTGAAAAATTTTGGGTTTTCTTGTAACTAAAATATTATGTCCATGATTTTGATTTTTAGTGTTTCTCTAATTCCTTGTTATAATTGTCACATATAATTTAAGTTTTGATATATTGAGATAGGTAAATAAACATAAAGTGTAATGTATTTTGTGAATAGCATTAGACTTGTGATATTTGAGGAATTAAGACTTAATCGTAAACTTGAAAATTGGAGAAAAGTTAAAAGAGTTGACATGTCAAATGACATCAAAAGTTAAGAACTTGATTATAAATTTGTGCTCTATGATTTTTGGTCTATGTTAGACACGTAGTGATATGGATGTTGTTAGGTTTAAAATCTTATTGTGATCGTTAATAGGAATAGATTGTATTGGTTTGGAAGTACAACGAAAGGAAAAGGCTCAAGTTCAGAGTGATTGTTCGACTATTTGAGGCAAGTGGATTTCTAAACTCTTGTTAAGCGTACGAAATTCGTGTATATCCTTGTGTGATGTTGAGAATGATTTAGAGACTTGTTGTTTATTTGTTGGTGTTGTATTTCTTGTTGTAAATTGTGTTTGGTTATCAAATGGTTATCTCCTCCCTTTTCATTTGAGCATGTCATTTGCATTGTATCTGAGACATTGTTGTGGTAAGAGGATGGTGTACTATTTTCGAGGGTCGTATCGCGCACCGCGACGGATATTATATTTCGAGGGACGTATCGCGCGCCGCGAAGGTTACTACTTATCGAGGGTCGTGTCGTGCGCCGCGACAGATGCATGGACAGATATGTCCCCCATGGGTCCCGGACTGAGAGACAGCGGGTGTGTATCGTTAGGGAAGACATGCATCACTATATTTGACATTGCATCTCATGGCATTACACATTTTATTATTGATGAACTTGAACATGTGTTTTGTTGATCGTGTGAGTGTTTCTCTGTGAAGTTTGTGACTGTTGAATATTGAGTTGTTATTGAGAATGTGTAAACTGATAGAGTGTGGTTATTGAGTTGTGTGTTTGGTAAACTGTAACCTATTAGACTGTATCGTGGAGGTTTAGATATGGTGTAAGGAGTGCCCGTATTTTGTTCACTTAACTTGTGTTTAGAGGTTTGCTTGTTGGGTACCGCGTGGTTTGGTACTCACCCCTTGCTTCTACAAATTTTTGTAGGATACTTGTCATTCTTTTCGTTTCCGAGGCATCTTGTGGAGGATTGTGAGGTAGCTGCTTGTCATCTCAGTGAACTTTCCTACTCCAGTTTATGACTTTGTTTTTACTTGAAAGACAACTTCATTCAGACTTCTACTTTATTTCAATTCTAGTATTTACATTAGAGGCTTGTGCACGTGACAACCTGATTTTGGGGATTGGATTAATATAACTTGGTTTCATAATAGGAATTGTTGTTGGATTGTCATTTACTTCCGCACTTTGTTAGATATTTGGTTTTAGGCTGACTTGTCTTGGTGGGATAACACGAGTGCCATCACACCCATTTTTGGGTCGTGACACAATACAAAGATAACAGACTCAACATTAACTGCCTAACTGTCTATGTAGCCCCTATAATACTAAGATGGATGTTTTGACAGACCCCACAACATCCTATAAAATGAAAGACTGAAAAATGAATAAATGTATCCTCTATAATGCAAAGAGGCTGACCACTGACTATGAGTACACATTTCGATCAATCAGGAACTTGATGGTGCTGATCGTGGTTGACACCGTTTGCATCATGATATGATGCAGGTCAAAAGGAATCAATAACTAAACATAAAATTATGCGAGTTTAAATGCAAACAACAACTTAAGCTTGAAAAGAGTACGAAGAAAACTTACCTTGGCTCTACTCAACTCCTTAATAACTAGAATAGATATAAAGAAATGAGACACATGCAATATATAAATGATTGTAAAATTATTAAAACACTTAGTTCGTTAAATAAATGCAATAATAAACTTACTTTAGTCATATATGAAATAACATAGTTTCTGTGGGAGTTTCTCTAACCAACAACCACAACTATGAGCCTAAGTTGTGATATAACATCTTGCCCACGCTGCTAGCACTGTCATATACTTTGTCGTCGCACAAAACTACTTGACTTATTCGATCCACTAGCTTCACTTATGTGATAATTTAAAAAGTATGACCCATTAATACTTATTATGGCTACATGGTTTATGAAGAGTTGCGTTATTATGTACCCGTATCCCATATAGTTGCTCAATTAATAGATGGGTTCAAAGAGGAAGGATATATTCAAGCCACTTTTTTACCACCAACAACATACATCAATAATTTTTTAATAGATAATGAGAAGTGCACCCCTTTCAGTTTTGCATGTTGTCACTTATAGATCTTTTATTAACCGATACATGATGTGATTCATATGTTCAAAAATGAATTCCTAATCTCTCCTGCATTGACATTTTCAGTTAGGTCTTGAAGGGTCAACAAACCTTAAATTCAAGACCATAATTTGTGAGAAGAAATATACGTACTATTTTTTTTTCGTTATTATGTCATAACACTTATACTTAAACTAGTTATGTGAAGATAGCAATAAATATATAATTGAGAAGAAAATAATGAGAAGGCTAAAGAAAATTTATCTTTGGAAAATTTGTTAGGCGAAAGAGTAATGTCATAAGGTCAAAGAAATAATTCACTTCCGCAAATCATGGGGTATACATTCATAAAATAGGTGGTAATAATAATGAAAACTCGGGAATCATTCCTCTTGGAATCCAAAAGGAAAAAAGATTTCTCGGAACAATGGAAACATAGAATCTGTTTGTTCCATTAGCAAAACAATAATTAGGCTCCCATAAGAGTAATAATAAATTCCCAAAATATTAGGTACCATACAAATAAGATTATGATTCTTGTCATATATAGAATATTCTAGACCGATTTGCTGCAGAAATAATAGTTCTCAGAGGACAAAAAAAAGTAGCCTAATTTTTATTCAAGGTTTTCGATTTACTTGTATGACACTGTATTGTACTTAATTTTCTTTTCTTCTCAACTATAATTTTTTTTTCGTACTAAATTTAAGGAAAGATAAAACAAAATAAGCAGACAATTAGTTTTTTTTAAAAAGGTAAAGTTAAATAAAATATAAAAAATAAAACTTTCAGATGCTCCATGATTGCAACACAACATACAAGCATATTAATTTGTATACTGATCAATTAGGTATATTTGTAATGCAAATTTAACTCATTAGTATAATGAAAAAAATGTTTCAAGTGATTACTACCAATTCTTTCGTTTCTCGACCCCTGTTAACACTTGAACTAAAGACCTAAAAAAACTATTCAAAACCAATAAGATGATATACAATCACATGCTTTTTTTAAAAGATGTCTTGATTTCCCGAAAGATGGAAAACAAAGAAGGCAATATTTTCATGTAATTTATTGATAAACACAACTTGGGAAGTTCATATAGAGATGATCGAAAGTTGAAATAATGATGTTTTGCTATTAACGTTGGATTAGGTACCACGTTGCCTTGCGTTATGCTAATAGTTTTTGTTTGGATTTTCTGATAGAACCAATGACCTCCTATAAATGAATATTTTTTGAGCATGTGATAATAAATAATATATATGTTCGATATTTTTCATATATATAATGTTTTATTGAATTTCTTATGTTACACTTAATGGGATAGAAATCTGATCCTACCAATACATGGTGAGTGTGTATTGATACTGCGGTTGCTCTTAATTTTGTTGAGTACAAATCATCTTCTTTCAGCTATTCATAGACCTCAGGTAGACCACTATTTAGCGTGACCAAATTCAAAGGTGAGTACGTTCATTCAGGATGCCGTGTATCTCTTCCGATTTGCTACAATGACTTTCATGTTCTACGTTTAGTCTTCCGGAATAGTTAATTAGTGCTTTGTTCAGCCTTTGGAGTTTATGGGGACTCCGTATTAATTATATAACTAGGTAAATAATAATTGCATTGAACTTGCAAATAACGTTTTACAAATATTCATACAATAAAATAAGGATAATAGGTTCTTAAAAAGTATTACCAATATTTCAATGTTAATTTGATTATTTGTCATTATCATAGTACTGAACAACATAAAAGGAATGAATAATTCACGAAATAATACTTCATTTGTTCTTTAATTAATAATAAAAGTAAAATAAAAAAGAAAATAAGAATATTTATACAAAGGAACTTCATAATAAAAAGAACCATTTAAGTTGCATAGATTAACAAATGTGATATATGCCTTAGGAGAAAAATTAATTTTTTTGTTAACATGATCGAAAAATAAAGTACGCTTTAAAATGAAAGGAATTATCAGTTATGAACTTGCATAGTTAATTTCTT